AACTCTTTGAGTGCGGCCATCCAGCCAGTGAATAAAGTCCTACACAAGAATATGCAAAGTTGGTACAAATTTTCAACTAATTAGAATTTTTAAGAAAAACAAACAAAAAAATTAATCATTTCTCTTTATCAAACAGACAATGAAGTTATACCAAAAATAGATTGGCTTAAAATTTTCATGTACATTTGCAGTACATACTGGATGTCAGAAGGGCTTAACAGTTTTCCAGCGATTTCTAAAACATTTAAGATTCAAGTTCCATTCCCACACCATTTCTGGGACAACAGAATTACATTTAAAATACCAAATTATTTGAGTGTTGGTTGCTTCTTTCATTCCAATTTCCCTAAATAATCATCCACTGGGAGATGGGGTGGGGTATGCCATTATCAAACCAGAAAATTATTAACAGAAACATTCAACACTTACATAAAATCAAATGATCTCAGATGCATTATCACGTTGGCATCCATTTTTGTCACCTCAATGGTGTCAGTGTTTTCTTCTCCATCTCCCATAGCTTCATCATCATCTTCCTTAGTGTTCAGTTTCACCCTCATTTTGTTTAAATGGCAGTTTTCCCGAATCAGTGTTACGGAATTTTCATTACAATCATTGATTGTAACTTTCACACAACTTCCCAGATGCTTTGCCCATTGTAATCCCATTATGCCTAAGGAAAGACAGAACTGTAATTCCATGACAGAATAAGGAGCTGGTTTCTGGGTCACTGAACCCACTAAGAAAAAAATAAAATCATCTTTTTAAATGTTTATAATACAGAAGTGAGATGCAAATTTTGTCACGTTCCTGCAAAAATGTGCTGGTGACCTTCTGCCTCAGCACAGAGTGACAATGGGGCTTGTAAAGGGACAGCCTTTTTGTCACCTTCTTATATGATAATCGGGGCTACAGACCACAAGACCTGTGATTTTTGCAGCAAGCTGGACCCAGAAGCTGCAGGAAAGCCCCTTGGCTTGTTGAACGCTCCAGTACAGCAGACAGAGTCTGGTGACAGCCCACCATAAAACACAAACATGAGAACAGGTACTGTGAAGATTTTTAGGCTGCCTCCAGATGTTTATTGCTGACTTTTGTAGTGAAATCCATCATTACACTGCAGGTGCATTTGTGAATTCCAGCCTCGTTCAGAAAGGTGATAAATTAATGATCAAGAATTTTTATGCAAAAGGCTGAACAGTTTCTGTTCTCAGCTGTGACCTTACGTTTCCAGTAGCTGGCTGATAACGAGGCAGCGATCCAGATCTCTTCAGATTTTTTGTTCCAGATGGTTCATAGACACTGATATAACTAGTCTACATTTAGTGCATGTTCAGGATTATGGTAAGCAATTAAGAGATGATTCTGATAAAGAAGCTTAGATTCCTCATCATTTTTAAGTTGATTTTACAGCCAAATTCCACAGCCATGGAGTCACAAGAGATCTTATATGACCTTGGGAACAAGTTCAGGAAGATGCTATTTCACGGACATTAATGCAACAGATTTTAAGGAGATCACTAAACTTCGATTTAATATTATTTACAGTTTTTTTAAAAGGCCTAATATCAGCCTCTTGAAGCTGTTTCTTTTGTACTGAAGCTAATGACTGCCTGCCTAAGGAAGAAAATTATTGTGTAACTCATTATTTTTTGAATATGTGATGTCAGTTACTACTGATTTCTGCAGCTTCATACTATTGGATATTAGGGCCAAGAGATTAAAGGAATTTGGCTTTACCAGTGGCACCAAAAGCATCCAGACATTCTATGGGTTTACGTTCCTCAGCTAGAACGGCGAGCGCACAGAATATCAATTGCCTAGAAAATAAGAAAGAATGGTCATAATAAGTAAGCTGAGAAAATATTTTTTCCTTCCTTTTCCTCCTTTATTTCCCTTGAATATAACACTAGAACATTTAAAATAAACTCCATCTTTTACATGGACAAACTGTAAACCAAAAACCTCATCTACCTTTTAAAGTTTAATTCTATAGCAGGATATTTGTGAGGGAAGATCCTGAATCAACTTACTAGTTACCCTAACACTGGAAAAAGTGACTAGCATTGAAAGGCAGAGTATTTTCCTTACTTTCCCAGCACATAACAGCTCTGTGTTTAAAAAGATGTCAGAAATTACTGGAGAGCAATGAAATTCCACTGTGCTGAGGAACAGGCCTTGTTCTTTGAGACATGTCCATAACCTTAGTTGCAGTGGCCCCCTTCAGAGGCGCGTCTTAGCTGGCACAGACGTATCTTGAGCCACTTTTAAACCTGGAAGCTCAAATATTAACAGCTGTAAGAACATGAAGGGTCAGCACAGGCTGAAGCACAGTCCCATGTGTTGGTGCCAATGCTCACACCTTTCAGTTGTGGTACAGACACCATTTGATTCTCCTTAAAAAATCCAACCAAACAAACAAAAAAACAAACAAAACCATCCAATGTTTCTTCCTTCATCTTCTTTAATGCAAATAATGTGAAGACACTTGAGAGAACCTGAGTCCCAAAAGAAAAAGGCCTAGAATATGCTAAGTGTGAATTATGGGTATGCTGCTGTTTCAGTTAGAGGAGAGAGAGCAGTGACTATCTGTAGTATCTCATGGAGATTCACAGAAAACCATCTGAAGTGTACTTAGTCAAGCTAGTTTTCAAGTATGCTCTTCTTCTCAAATCCTGTTTTTCTCAATGAACTACTTACTACATAAAAATACTCAATTGCTTCAGAAATAAAAGTATTTCTCACATAGTGTTCTTGGGTTTAAATATTATTTGTCAAGTTTTCTGATGGAAAACTTTCCAAATTCCCAGAAATTATCCAAGCAGATAAATTAAAAAGTATTTCCAAACAGATTTCTTATCCCAGGAACTATCTCCTGCCCTTTGAACAAGAAGTTTTGCTGGGTTTGCTTTTTAAAACACACAAGTATTGTTCACTACAAACTCACCACCCCTCTGGTGCATCCTCCCACTCCCTCTTCTCTCACCTGTTGAGTTTCATTTTTGGATTAAAATAGGAATCTGTTTTCTGAGGCGTGGAGTAGTTGGGAAGAACCTGCACATCTGTGGCTGACTCTTTCAGCACTTCACGAGAAG